TGCTTTAAATATTTTCTTACAAAAATGGACATGCGAGGAAACCAAAAATATTCACAAAGTTTTTTGAATGTTTTAGTAAATCCTACATGGCAGTTCTCATCGTGAAATAATTTTAAAAGGCTAAATCTAGATCCCTTTGGCACATATAACTTAGGTTCATTGGGCCTTACTTTGTAAAACAACAAATTATTCTGTAACAAGTATTGATTATCGTCTAATTCACCAGATAGGACTTGGGCTATTAAATTTTGAGTTTCTACATCATTTTGCTGGGCGGCTTCTAACCAAGATAGAGGTTCTTCAATCAAATTTACAGAGCTGCACAACTTTAGCGATTTTCTACGGGTTTGTAGAGGTATTTGGCAGTTTGTGTTGACAAAGAACCAGTTATGGAAGCAGCAGAAGAAATGGAATTTACCACTGGGTTACGGCTAAGAAAATCTACATGTCCTATGTGTTTACCCTTCTTATATATGATATCAAAATTAAAATCTTGTAAAAATGTCCACCAACGAGCAACACGGGGAGACAAATCTTTTTTATTCATTGTACTTTTAATAGAGTTACAGTCTGTAAAAATCTTAAACGGTGTACCTAGGAGGTACACTCTAAAATGTTTCAAAGCATTGTATATAGCCAAAGTTTCCAGATCATACGAACAGTATTTAGATTCCGCGGGTGAAGTTCTTCGACTAAAATAAGCTACAACTTTTTTAACATTATCAACTCTTTGTACTAATATAGCTCCAAAGCCTAAGGAACTAGCATCTGTATATAGTTCAGTTGGTAAAGAATGATTGAATACAATTAGTAAGGGTTTACTAGACAAGTGCTCGATAACATAATTCCTAGCCATATCCTGCTCTCTTCCCCACTCCCATTTCTGGTCGCTTTTTGTCAACTTAGTTATAGGTGCAGTTTGAGTTGCGAAATTGGGAATAAATTTACGGAAATAACTGGCAAGACCCATAAATTGCCTTATTTGTTTAACGTTTTTGGGGATCGGGGAGTTAACTAAATCGGCTACCTTTGTTTCACTAGGCCTAACACCTTCCTGTGATATAATTCTTCCTAAATATTCTATACTTTGAACAAAAAACTTGCATTTTCTTAGATTTATAGTAAATCCCGAAGAACATAATGCTTGAACAGTTTCCTCTAAGTAGCAAAGCCCTTCGTCTATTGTTGAAAATGGAATTAAAATATCATCTATATAGACTAAAAGAAATTTTAAGTTCTGCACAGCTTTAGTGATAGCTCTTTGGAAAACGGAAGGTCCATTGCAAATCCCAAATGGCATCCTTAAAAACTCGAAATGCCCATCGGGTGTCACAAAAGCCGTGTATTTTATCGAGTTTGGTTCTACGGGAATTTGGTAAAAACCATTTTTCATATCAATAGAAATAAAGAACTTTGCCTTACCTAACTTATCGATTTGGTCTTCGATTAGAGGGAGAGGGTAGCGATCTTTATCCAAAATTTTATTTAGTGACCTATAGTCTACACATAAACGATCGCTGCGCCTCTTTTTTTTTAACTAAAATAACTGGATTTGCAAAGGGGGAGTCGCTTTCGCGAATTATGTTTTGCTTTAAAAGTTCTTGAATTATCTCATTAACCTTCTCCCTTTCTATCGGTGCCAATCGATAAGGGCGATAATTAATAATTTCATCTTTTATCAACCGTAACCTGAGTTCACCGGTTTTTACAGTAGTTCTACTATCAAAGATCGAGGGATATTTTTGAAATATGTTTCTTATTTTATCTTGTAGTTCCGTGTCTAAGTGATCGATTTTTGAGGTTAATTCAACCGAATCAGACGTATTAAGAATCATATTAACTTCCGTTTTAGTTAGAGTCGGGGTCCTAATTAAACGACTACCTAATGAATTTGTAACGATTTCTATATCATGATATTGAACAGCATTTCTGCCGATTAACAAATCGTATTTAAAATCATAGTCTCTAACAACGTATATATCTAGCTCTAAACAAACAGATTCGAATCTAACTAGTACGGTAATCATAGCAAAAACATGTATTTTATTTTGACCTATTCCATTTAAGTAAATCGATACTGGTGAAAGATGGCAGCCCAATCTTTTTGCAATTGATTCTTTTATAAGACTACAATTTGCTCCTGTATCTAGAAGACAATCTATTGGAATGTCATTAATTGTTACTGTAGTTAGTTTTAGGTCGTTTTTTCTAAAAAATTAACCTCTTTATTTGGTAAAATAGTTATAGATGGAGAATTATTTGATTCAGCTCTCTGTTTATGATAACAAATAGACTCAGTGTGTCCAACTTTTTTGCAATAAGTACAAATCTTAGGGTTGTTAGCTTTAGGTAATTGTACGGTTGGATTAACGGGCGTACGTAAAATTTGTTTGTTTTTGGGGCATTGAGATTGCAAGTGACCAATCTGATTGCAAGAAAAACATTTCTTTTCATCATTTAACTTAGGTCGTTTTGGTTCTAGCAATTTGGCATTAGAATTCTCTAATGGTCTCTTTTTTGCTTTTACATATATTGAAAGAAGCGATATTAGAGCAGAAGTAGTAGTGATACCACTGTTTAAGGAAGCCATCCTAACATCAATATCTGAAATTCCTCCACAAATTAATTCTACTAATTGATCATCAGTAAATGCAATTTTGGTATTACGAAGTAATCGAATTTTTTCCCTACAATATTCACTATAAGAATCTGTAGCATCTGACGTATATAATACTGCCTTGCTAAGTTTCTCGGCCAAATTTTTCTTTTCGGGAAAAGTATCGATAATGTCTATACGAAATCTCTCCCAAGATCTACCTTCAGGCGGTTCCCATGACTCGAACCATATCAAGGCGGATCCTTTCAGAGCCTTACCGGCTTTTGCTGCGGTCCGGATGCTGCTCCACTTCAAGTCTGCTCGAAGAGTATCGATGCTATCACACCAACTCTTGGCCCCACAGTCACTTTTATCAGGATCAAACACTGGCAAAGCGATGTCGTCGTCTTTCTGTTGAACTGCATCTCGAATTGCGTTTAGAAGTTTACCGACTGTCTCAGGATCCATTCTAAAACACAGAATTTGATTAAATATTAAGCTAACGTATCCCACTTCTGATGTTATAGACTGAGATAGTAAAGCAATATAATTGATTAACTAGAAGTTTAACTAAATAAGTAAGTATTGTAAATTAATTAGGGGACAGATGAAAGTCAAACTACAAGTAACGTATATTTCATATTTTAATAAAATAGGTTCTGTATACCATAGGTATTCTTAAACACAACCTTTTTAACACAAAAACATGTATTTAATCATAATCACACATCATATACATTATATAAGATAACACAAATGCTTTATTAGTTTTACTGTAAAAATGTTTATGTTTATAGAAAAAAATAGCAACACAAGAACAATATTGGTACTTAACTTAGTATTGGTGTATACTCCTTCAAAACCAGACGAGAACTAACTCGAAAGTCACTTGTACTTACCTTTTATACCTTTCTACCCACATAAGTCAATTTATCAATTAATTACTAATTAAATCATAAAGTTGAACCAAAAATATATTAAGACATCCGCAAACACTATTTTAAATATTAATTTACATATGAAATAATATTGAGATAATTGTTTTTAATGAAAATAATTAAATGAGAAAAATATTACAACTTCCGATAACAGTTTTAAACATTCTATTCAAATACAATATTAAGATATTTATAATTTAATTTTACATTATTTATCAACTTCATATTTCGCAGAAAAATTCTTGAATTGGGTCTCTAACATCTCTAAACGTGCATCGACATAATTGTAGTTTATCCGATCTCTCGGGGACTTCTTGTAATTTATCCAGCCCTTTTCAATTTGTAATTTGATATCTTTCAGCTTTCTTAGTTCTTTCTCCATGTTGCTTGTATTCATGAAAATATTCTAAGTCCAGTGAAAGATAGATGAAAATTCTCTAAGTGTCGCTGACAGTTGACAATTGACAAATTTTCCAAGTCCAAACTATAGAGAATTTTTCTAAGTGTTTAATACTTTGTAGATCGCTTCGAAATCGGGCATAGATTCGACGTCTGGTCGTTTTTCTCGAAACTATTCTAAGTCCCTGATCGAATGCACGCGAATTTTTCTAAGTCCCTAGTTTTAATGATTTGAATGTACTCACAGTTCTTTGTCCACAATTATGCACTTCACTTCACTACTACGAAGTTCAACGATGATTCCCGATGTATGTCCTCGGCAGCTGAGCACGTAGTCTTCCACATGTAGTATTGTTAACCGACAACGATAGTTGTCGGTTAACAACCATCTCGTATCAATTAGCACAACTATATTTAATTGTATGTGTTCTTCCATAAACACCCTTCGGCTCGACTGGACCATGAACAGTATCGGCCGAAAGTCCTTTGGAGCCTATTACTCGAAATAATACGAAGTACCTCAGAGCAAGACAATTTATTTATGTCAAAGCAGACAACCTAATGTTTTGCCGGTAACGAAACCATAGCTTGAATTTAAATCGGCCAACGCCATCTATCGAGCTATGGGACAACACAATAAATAGTAGTATGGCGTTGGCCGAATGCATCTTTTAAACAGATTATTTCTACACTGAACAGTAATTGATAACTAGTTTTTAATTGTTGTCATTAATAAGTCTTTATCGATATTGCAACAACGTCATTGACTTACATGTAATGAAGAAACTACAAAGATTCCCCTCTATCCTCACGATAGAGGGGAATTAAACCTAGGGGACACCTCAATGGCGCCCCTCTGTCCCCTGGTGCCCTAAGCACTTGCCTAGTTTGCCTTAGGGATATTATGTCATAAATGTGTGTTTACAAAAACTAATTGTGGATTTAATTTCATGCCGACGATGAAATTGCACAAGAACAAACCATTGTGTAAACAATGATGATTTGTTCCTGTTCCTGAACCAGAAGATACTAAGAAGAAGAGGTGGATTCTGGATACAAGTACTCACTGGTGTACGTGGTCAGCGTGTTTGTGGAGGCCGGTGTGGAAGACCGCACTGACGCCGGGGAAGCGATCCCATGCGCCACCATGTCCCCGCTACCTCCCGCCTTATAACATAAACAAAACCATAAGAAAATTACATAGAATAATTATGATTACACATCACACATTGTAAAGATGCATAAATAATTTCAGTCAAACATTTACAATTTAAACTTTGTTAGTAAACAAAGTAAGTAGGTAGTTGAGTCCCAATAAATGAATCACGTCGCTTGCAGTGATAATGGCATGCTGCTTGATGCGACGCTACAGGGATCACAAATTGCTAGTATTATCCTATTATGCTGACCTGGTTATGATGATTCTCATTTGGCCCGCCGCCATTTGGTTGAGGATGTGAGAGTTCTAGGGGCGGAGCTCCCGCGCCCGTCCTGCAGTCCACCATTAGGGGGAGAGCTTCAACTTCAACCTAGTGACATATACCAACAATTATTATAATATATAAATTTTAATAAATCTACTAGTACTGACTATTTTATTAAATTGCTGACAGGCGCAGGGCACGTTTGATTTAGCCACAAAAATGTTCGTCGTTAGCGCACAAAATACGTAAGATACGACCGAGGCGTCGTTATCAAATGAATGATTGATTTCGATGCGCTCCATATTAAATGCTAAACGACCCTTAAGAGATTTGTTTTGGCAAAAGGAATAATTGCTTGTTTTTCCTGTCAGCAACTTATCGGTGTCTACTCGCTAAACAAATAACGTACAACAATACAACAAAACTAAAATTAATAAACGTCTACACACAATCTATTGACTAGACTACAACACATGATCCCAAACAACCCTAGTCTAGAATAGCTACGATATGGTACTTTGGGTGCGATTTATAAGCACGTCACTTTATTTCATACAAGTTATATTTCTTCAAATTGAATGTGCGGAAATTATATCATTAATGTTTCACTTAAAAAAAAAATAAGAAACACTCCGATGAATCGGATGAACCTTCCACCGGCCGATTAATAAAGGATTAAAATTGATGAACAGATGCCCTCTTGATGTTTGATGGGGCTTAAGGATAAAAAAAACACGAAATGCGTAACAATAACAAAAATGTAATACATAATTGGCTTATAAAAAGGCAGCAAATATCAAGTGGCAGGCTTAAGTTACAAAACAATTGCACGTACCACCTACAGGAAAGTATTTATAGAACGTCTTATGGGATTACCCGAAAAAATAGGCCAAGGTAAAGTGTTTAGTAATAGCAGTCAAGTGATATGCTTACAAGTCACCCAAAACCTAGTTCTATAGTCTAGCTACAACTAACAGGCATTGGCTCAAAGTTAAGGAAGTCCAGGTGCTGGTATGTAAAGTCGACGTTGTTTTGGAGAGCTAGCCCTGTCTCCTCGTTCCACGACACTTTGCTCGGCTTGCTCACTTTCTCGGGAGCCTTCTCGTCCGGAGCCACCTTAGACTTGTTCCGGGCCTTGCTCAGACCTTGTTTCAGAGTGATGTTGCCTGCTCGTGGAACATTAATTGAGTAGGTACGGCAATTTGCAAAAGGGAAACACTATTTCAAATTGTGCTCAAAACTAAATATATGTGCGAAATTAAAAGTAGTTCAAGCAAGTAATAAAAATAATAAGAAGCAATCCATTCACAAGACAGTACAATTAAGAATTTTGCAATACAATATCGAACCTATTTGTTGTAACATTTGGCTCAGAGTAAGGAACTGAGAATGAGCTCGCGAGTATCTGTAGGGAGGGGCCCAAGGTCTTATTTCCTCGAGGGGCAGTGGCTCCAGCTGTTCGAAATTGACAACTCGCTTCTCGCCAAGCTCCTCTATAAACACGAGACAGGGTCCGCCGTCAGGTCGCATTTCTTGGATATGGCAGTGATACGGAACAGTCTGCTCGGGTTGCAGTTTGCACAAACATTTCACGCCCACTTGGAGGGTCGTTCCATCAGAATATCTCGCGCCATAACGCATTTCTGTAATATAGTTTCATAAGTACCGAAATAGGAAAATTATATGATAAAATAATTCTCTCAAAATGAACTGGAATAGGTAACTGAAACGTCCAAACAAAACAAATCCTCGGGTCTACTGACCTCGTTACATACAATATTACTTCGTCATTTCCGTTCTTGCGAAAATTGCTAACAAAAACACAAGAAATTCGCGAGAGAAAGCTGTTGTGAATACTTGTAACCAGTCAACAATCAGGAAAACGAATTAGCCAAGCGTCCAATCGACCGAAAACTGCATGTAGCCCGGAACGAGGTCGGTAAAATATAATTAGTCTAAAGATTTATGCTTGTTTAGAGTTTCTGCTCCTATTCAGTTTATGGAAAAACTGTAGTACCTCGTCTGAGCTCGCTCCACACGTCAAACTCTATGTTCCTGTAGATATCAGGGTCTAAAGCTTTCGCAACTTTGTAAGGAAACGGAGTGATTCCATTATCAAGTAAGTCTTTCGCGCTGTTTACGTTCAAGCAGTTCATGCATACATTCTCAAGCTGTATTAGGCTGCGGTTGAATACGAAGATACTCAGAGACTCCTTCAACAGGCTAGCCCTTTCTAGATCTTCAGTGTGGTGCTTACATTTAAGCGCCAACGCGTTGCTGCTCCTGTCCTTGTCATCATCAGCAGCTTCTATGAATATTTTAGCTCTTTCTTTCTGCTTTTTGCGACGTTCAACATTCTCCGACATAAAGTATTCGATGTGGTTGGAGGGTACTTTGTCGTGGAGCATTTTGTCGACGGCGTAAGATAAGTCTTTTAGCTGATAGACACCGTCGTACAGTATTTCGTATACTAGAGCTATAAGCACAATGGTCAATTTTATGTTCAAATATTCAGAAATGAAGTAAAAGTAAAGCAATTTGAATTAAACATTGTAAAAGCACTAGTAAGCACAAGTATACTTCCACTTTTTCTGACTGATCTGAGACAATGAAGGCTGCGGTATGCTAAGCTGAATGGTGCTACACAATATTTTTGCAAAAAGAAATAATATACTCTCGAGCTGTCATTGATGTTTAAATTAATGGACCGAAATAGAAGAGTCGACATGAAGATTATAATAAGTCAATATAATCCTGTGATCAAGATAATTATGGAATAATATTACAATATTCCCTTCCCTTTAACTCGTCGAGTACCGGTTTTATAGACACAATTAAAGAACAATAGGTCGCGGTCACCGGTGACCGCTTGGTGTTTGACAGTTTAATTATTCCACAGCCATTTACTAGCTAGGTGTTTATGTTTGTTACTTTGTTGCAGACATAATATGGGTGATAAGGTAAGGGTTAGTCAGCAACTCAGCGCTGATTCATCAAAAGGTGCTAGTTGTATGCCACACATAATTAAAGAGAATTTTGCAAATTAACAATGTTAATTTAATTTAATTTATAAAATTAAATTAAAATCGCTGGAATAAAGTTCTCCAATTTCCTACCTTTCTATAACATAATTATTTTATTTAAGTATTGCAAAAGGTTGTGGATTGACATGTAATTTGACAGAGACGAATTGTGGTTTGGAAAAGCAGATCAGGCATATTTTATTCTAGTAATGTGTATGGACTAATACTATCACAATAATTAGCGCAGTTGTGAGATCTAACTTTTAATAGGACATCCTTGCAAAGCCACTTACAATTCATGAATCAGATCAGCCAGTATAAGTGATAAACAAAAACCACATAACTGTTACACACAACTATAACACATATAACCTTTGGCTGAGAATTTTCCTTAAAATTTTAACCAAATACAAACTTACACTGGCAGTAGGATGAGGTGTTTATGAAATCTTTTGTATAAACCACATCAAAATGTTTAGTGTCTGGTGAGTAAAACAAGTATATGGGGTCTCCATAACCATTGCATATCTTTGTCTGAGGGCCCTTGTTAGCTTCAAATATTACAAAGTCACGTCTGCAATGTTTGTTAAAGTTACATCTTTTAAATCCATATGAACTATGTGCCTAACACAAGCTGTAATGTTTATTTTAGAAGTGACCAAGTTGAGCATTGTTAATCTCGAGCGCATATTAACAACTTCTCATTTAACGAAGGTATGTTACGATTGAAAAGTTGTTAGAAAGCTAAGATCATCAATGCGTCAGCAGCAGCAGCAGTTTCACCACAATAATAATGATCATTATTCTCATTTGGAAGGGAAATTACTATCACACTTGTAATAGGCACAGTATCAATTAATTGTTACAAAATATAAATCAAAATGTGGGTAGACAAAATTTCATATGAAAATGTCTTACCTATATAGATGGCTCATGGCCGATATTTCAATTAAACCGCCCCACTCTGATGGGTTTGACATCTCTTTGAGATAATTTTCAAACGGACAAGTCAATGACTACAAAACAAAAGCACATTATGTTAAGAGTCTGCCGGAATCTGAACATTATCTGATAATGAAATGGCATACCCTACCCCTTCGAAGAGATGCCGTTTGGAAGCCATGAACTGAACGCAATCCAGCCGGACTTTATGAAAGTATCGCTGAGTGTTATAAATGTTCTCAGAGACCGCCCGGAATAGGCAGCTAGAGTCCCTAGCTGTATGTTTACGGAAAAATCCCATCTCATCCAACCACCTGTCCGGCTCCGAGGAACGCTTGTGTATCTTCCACGGCCCGCGACAGCGGATCGGGGAAGGCGACATTGTACACTGCTAACAATCTGCAGGTAAACAAAAACAAATGACGCTGCCGCTTCGATCTACATATCCGCCAAATATTTCGAAGAGACCGTCTTACTTTAGGCTCAATGAAGACACAAGATAAAGTAAATAAACAGATTATGTTTCCAAAAAACCATATCGTAGCTATACCGTCATGAAGAATGCAAATGGTTGTTTTGCTGTCTACGATATACAACACGTGCAAATGTTAAATCTTACAAATGTCGCTAAAATAATATGAAAACACTTACTGAAATAGTAAATCCCAACTGCCAGCATCAGTGTTGAACTTTGTAGTATGTGCGAAGTTGTATTTTATGGAAATATAAAGAAAACTGCACGTGCCAAATGCAAACCGTCAAGAGCCGGCGGGAAGCAAATCAAAATTTACAAGACGGCAGACGGCATCTATTGCAAAAAACTGAATGTTACCACACTGGAAGCGCATTCCTGATAACACTTTATGTCTCTTTCTGACAACGTTTATCGTCGTATCTTGCTATTTCATTTTTTGTCTATGAATGCTAGATTATGTTCCAATGCGTACTATGAAACGCGCTAGAAAAAGCATAGACCATGAAACAAAAAATACAAACTCTTTAATAAATGTTGTAAAATATTAATTGATGAAATTATTAAATTAATGGAACTGTTGTATTCTTAAAAAATATATAAAGCTGGAATTAGTACGGTATTTCAATTTATTTAAATCAATGAATCAAATGTCAAAGACTAGTAAAAGATTTATATTGTCTATTGTTTTACTAGATCCATGCAAAAAATATGTGGTATTTTATTTTTTTCACATTTCGTGGTAATTTTTGTTGTTGTACTTGTACGATGTATGGTCATTGACAGCCATATTGAGTCATTACAACAACATTTAAATATACTATTTTAATTACTAACGGGTCGAGTCGCTAGCGACTGGACCCCGCAGTCAAACCATTCCAACGGTTTTGTGGGGCTTAGATTATAAGATACTTACCTGTGTTTTTAAATAAAATTAATAATAAAAATAATAAAATAATATAAATAAGGGAATGCATTTCTATTGCGTATTTAAAGATTGCTTGATACTTATTCTAATATTCATTGAATGCAAGCAGTCTTCGAGTTTGGTTCCCGGGTCGATAAAATATTGTATAATAATTATATAAATAAATAGTGTTTTTCAACTGTTACATGACATCAGTGTTTACAAACTCCAGCTGCTGAGTCGATTGTCCAGTGTATGTACCTATTGGTAGTATTATGCTCACTCTCTATATGGGATTTTAACCATTAATGGGGATGCGTCGTTCAATTCGGGTATATTATTATGTTATGTATACCGCTTGGTGTTTGACAGTTTAATACATTACAATAGGTAAATAAAACGAATGTATACTTTTATTCTATATTTATAAAAAGCACCGTCTGTAAAACATACAAAATTCCGGTAAAAATGGTTTATTGGCATTGACAGCATTATTATAAAAATGGAAAAATGTTTGATTAATTATTGTATATGATATAAAAATTATGACTGTTGACATCATTGCTTAGACAAACTATTGCTTTTCTTTTGGATTTAGACCAAACACTTACACCACAAAATGGTTGAGCAAGTAATATTGTTACAGTACTACATTCGATGATTATATTATTATTATTACTATATTTCTAAGTTAATACAATGCAAAAATACCATATCAACGCAGAAATAATGTTTAAAAATTTAGATCCAAATGAAATTTGGTAACTACACTCCTAATTTATTGACCAGAGCGTCACACACGCGCAGATGCATAATTCAACCTAAGGGAGAACACAAGCACAGAATGAAACTGAATTAAACAATATTGGAGTGCAGTGTGTTCCCGACTTAAATAAATCAGTACTAGACATTCATACATAATACTCTTTTCAATATAAATTAAATTATAAAATGCTCGTAAAATACGCTTATTAAATATACATATACCGTTAAAAAGTGACATAGAAAATTTGGTTCCTATAAACTAATGATAAGGACCAGTTTACAAAGTCCATTCTAAGTCTAATCGAACCTGTCATTAGATAAAATAAAGACTTGTTAAAACGGACGCCGCAAACAGGCCTATGACTTACATCGAGTTTAAAATACGGGCGATACTAGCGAGATATAGTTGCAAGTGGTTATTTAATGAGGATGTTCAGGCTGTTTTCTCCTGCTCGATGACGTCCTTGGTGGGGAGAGGGTTCTTCTCGCACGTCTCAGTGTGCTTCAGCTTGGTAGGGTCGAAGTTCTCAATGCCGTTCAAGAATTTGTTCTTTTCCTTCTCCGCCTCAATAGCTGTGAGTTAAAAAATTCGTGTTAGTGGATTCTGTCGTAGGTACATACATTAATACTAAATAAATTAGACGATTAAATAATTACATTACCTATCGTTAGGCTTAAAAAGTGAAGAATAGATTCAAACTCGCTAAAAAGGTATAATTAAAGTGTTGGAAAGCCATGCTTCGGCAAGAATGGGCCGGCTCGACCGGAGTGACACCACGGCTTCACAGAAAACAGACGTGAAACAACGCTTGCGTTGTGTTTCGTCGTGTGAGTGAGGTTACTGGAGGCCTAATTACCCCCTCCCCAAGTCTCCCCAATCCCCGAATCCCCCACAATACCCAAACTCCTAATCCCCAAAAGGCCGGTAACGCACTCGTAACGCCTCTGGTGTTTCGGGTGTCCATGGGCGACGCCGATTGCTTACCATTAGGTGATCCGTCTGCCCATTTACCAGCTTACCTCATAAAAAAATTTGAGTATGATAGGAGTAACAGACTGAAATGTACCTATATCACGACTCCGTTTTTAGTTATTTTGCCCTGACTGATTGACCAGGGAAATAAGAAACAAAAAAATATGTATTTTGTCAAACAGCCCATAAAAGGATTTTGTGAGTTTTTAGATTACTCTGATTCTGAGTAGTGGACTGATGAGTGAGGAGTGTAAATATATTTTACATTGAACTTTATAGCAATTTATGGACACACGAAGAATTGTTCACTGCAGAAATCGAACCTACAATACGTCGCATAGTAGTCAGTTGTGTAATCATTGTACTATGTCTGTCTGCAGATTATTGATTGTTTTTAACTTAAATAGGATAAAGTTTTGTAGAATATTGGTTACGTAAAAATAAAGTTATGGCATGAAGCAGCAGGGCGCTCACACAAAAATGTAAATAAAAATATACATTGAGTAGGCACAAGGCAGAAAATTATAAAGCAGCAAAAATAAACCTTCAATAGGCGGTAATGGGTTCTTTTCTTCTGTCGTGGTATGCTTCATCTGGGTCTTGTCGAAGTGTTCAACGCCGTCCAATAAATTCTGGTGCTGTTTCTCCGCGGCAACAACTGATGCAAAGCAAATCGTGCAAGGCAAAACATAATAAATACGAGTAAATAATAAAAGCATTGAAATCTCTCGTATTTGTAACACAATCATTCAAGAAAGGCCACATTTACATGCTAATTGGGATAGACACGATACGCATGTGCTTAGATGAAATAAAAAGCGTGTCATACCGTAGTCACAAAAACATTGATAAGCTAATGAGTTTTGACTTCTGGAGTCATTAAAACTGCTTAAAATTAACGAGTTTCTAGTACGTATAATTATGAAGTTATACCTACTGGAAACTTTGGATAATCTCCATATAGGAACGTATGAGATTTAGAGATACGGATTTAATAAATTATGTACCTTTTAGTAAAATTGCACATATACATGCATAACTTAGTTTAGTAGTGCTGGTGTTGACAAGAGAAAATCATAAAAACAAACCATCTTTGTCAGGAAGAGGGTTCTTTTCCTGTGTTTCTGTGTGCTTCAACCTGGTAGCATCGAACTTTTCAATGCCATCGAACAGGGACTTTTGAGTTTTTTCAGTGGCAACATCTGTAAACCATAGACAATCTGTGTTAGGAAGATCATTCGAATATTTAAATTTCGAAATTTGGCGCACTCTCACAACGTCTAAAAACATGCCCGTTATTATTTTAGTAAAACGTTGAAGATAGTTAGAATTACAACAATAACTGCACTGCAATGAGTCGTAAAATACATATTAGTTTCATAGTTTCCCCTGGTTTAGTTCCCCAGTTAAAATTAGAAGGAATGCGATGAGCACAAGCAGCCACGTCTCACAGGCGTATTGCGGCTCGCTATTATTTATTAGTGGAGCGGCATTCCCACCAGTGATATACCTAGTGCGTTCGGAAGCACATTTTTTTCCACCGTCTCCGTTTTCCTGAGGGAGGATGGTTGAAATTGTTCTACGCCTTGAAGTAGCGCGTTGTGTTGCTTTTCTTGCGCTACGTCTGTTGTGAATGAAATTATTTGTTACTCTGTTTCAAAATACCTAACTTTTACTCACGGAATGTTGTTTTCAATGAAAGCATGTTCAGTAGGTATGTTATGTGACTCTAGATTTGTGTTCTTAGTGATCTGTTATGGATTTTAGATAAGGCGGATTAATACTTAATCTTTTATGATAATCCATTAAGTAAGTAGGTAGGATTATGAATATTTATTCCAATTTCTGACATGTAGGTAAATACCTACTTATTTTGTCATCCACAGCACAACTCACATGATTGGCGTGTTGCTGAATTTCGGCCAGTGACATACTAGTCTAAAAACTTCAAGTAGATACTTGATTATAATTAAGATAAATTCAAACAACTGAGTTATAAGTTAATCTGAAGAAGTCAACCTGTGCCCATAATCTCTAATTTATCCAAATTCTAAGACGTGTCAATAGTTACCACACCATATAGATACCCCAGTGCTGTCTCCTCAAAACCTTCATTAATATTTAATATCAAAAACATTCTGGTCATTACGCGTCTCCATCAATATCATGTCATGAACATACCTTCGGCAGATGGCAGCACAATCTTCTCATTAGTGTCTACGTCACGCAGGCAGCTCTGGTTGAAGCCTTCCAACTGACTCTTCAGGTCGTTGGCTACCTTGGGCAGGTCCTTGAGGGAGGGGGCATCTACTGAGCACGCCATTGTTTATAAATCTGAAATCAAGAGATAGTGGAATTTAGATAAAGGTAAGATGTATGTAGTATGTGTGTATATAACATTTCAACATTTTATGGGCCAAGAACAGTGCCTAGTTACTACCTACTATTTTCGAGGCGAAAGTTAAATTTTTAATCAGTAGGTACCTGCAAAAGAAAGCTTTGGCCTTTGGTTTATTGGCTGTCAAAAAGGCTTTTGACCTTTCTTTGAAATAGATAGTTTTATTTAATCTACACCTACCTAGCTTGCTTGCTAAATACATAAGTATCTACCTACTCCTAGTGCTTAATTATCAAATTAATTAATAAATGTAGAACTCTACAATTTCCTTTGTTTGTATTTAGCTCGACAATTGAGTCAATGTTGTTAAAAGTGAGTCAGAAGAAACGCATTTAAACGACGTAAAAGAATGTTAGAAGTTACATTGGATGTGGGTGTACGGCTTTCACGTATCGCTGGCGAACTAAATTGGTTGTCGATGAAACATCGCATTAGCGGGCTTAGCGGCGCTGGTAGACTGACGCCCATAGCTTACTAACAAACAATCGATAAGAAACGTGGTTTACAAGACATTAGTAGTTATCGAGTCGTTTCCAACAGTTCCAAATACATAGTGCACTCTGTTTAACTCGTCGAGTACCGGTTTTATAGACACAATTAAAGAACAATAGGTCGCGGTCACCGGTGACCGCTTGGTGTTTGACGGTTTAAATGTTAATGAACTTTACGTTCCTTAGTACACAAACTTAGTGCGTTTTCTAAAACAATTTAATATCTTGTATTGTATAAATTCATTCATTCATTTCCTCTCATTTACCTATGAGTCGCCAGACGGTGAAATGGTGATATTACCTACACAGAATAATGTAACTACACAAGATCTAGAATAATTTAATTATTTCCTACTCATTGAACATCATTAGTCCATGGATTAACTGTCTTTCGCCACGGTTACCGCGACCTCTTCAATTACGAATCGCTTGTCGAGCGGAGAGTGAACTAACGGCAGTTTACCAAGCATAATATGCGTACCACAGCCATTGTTGGTAAGCTAACTGTTTATACCTTCGCCCACATGTAATGTAAGATGAAAACAAACTATGCTGCTACTGTCTCATTACGACGAAGAATTTAGAATCATTTCTCTGAAAAAATCAAGTAAAAAATTATCTGAAATCAGATTATCGTGTCCTGCACGTTACAACTACAAGTTGCTATTACACAAAGCATATTTTGTGCGTTCAGATTTAATTTATTACTCAAATCCAATTACTAGAACACCCTTAGCATCCCTTTAGCTTACAAAAATAAAAATAGTCTCTGGTATTTTTCTGCCAGCCTGTATTCCCAATGCTATGATGAGCGAGGCACGGCCGCCCGCAATCGTAGCTAACGCTCGTCGCATATTAAAACACGGGGTCATTGTTGCCGACAACTCGGTGTGTATACTAAACCAGAATACATCCTGTGGACAGGGAAACAATCTTTTGTTTCTAAAAGGATGTTTGTTCAGGATTCGTGTCATATCATAAGGGAGTTTGATCACTACATTAATAAGGTTTTTGGGAATTAAATCAAGAGAGAACTTCGCTTTAGAGATAGCGAATTGAATCATAGTAATTCTTCATACGTCAATGACACACCTCCCGCGAAATCTTGTCAAAAATGGCGTGACTTGCCTACTCAAATACAAAGCATGTTAGTTTTAAATTAATGTAAACGTATCAAACCATAATAGTTTATAGATAAATGCGGTATGCATGAGGTAATGATGAATCAAAAGCGTCAAATCTAATAATAAGCTTACAAGTAATAATAAAACGAGGATAAAGTCTATTCTAGTAACGCGTCCTGCAATAGAATGTTCCAGAAATGTCATTTGTAAAATAGAGAACAGACTATAACAGTTTGTCGATAGTATAACACAATTCGTGTTGATATGGTTGATTGACATAATACCATTATAATAGCAACCAGTTTTACTTGTTTGTTTAGCAAACGAGGGTCATTGACTGACTTGCTGTACAAATTATTTAATTGTTTATTGTGCATAGTAAGTTATTATAGCTGCACAGTATCACTGAATCGTGTTAAAGCTTGAATACTTGACCTATTCGTAGCTATCAACTATACAAAGGCATCTGCTTACTGCATAAATATTTTTATACCACTTGTATTTGCACATTACATATTTTTCAACCTCTAACAACATTCTTAGCGAATTATTTAGTGTTGAGTTCATGGACAGACAAATAAATACACATTTTAATGACAAATCTCTGTAAGCGTATCCCTACAATTTATAGCGTTGGTTTATTTAATTAAACGCATGGGACCAAAGATGCTTCCTTGTGATACCCCTGCCAAGCGATAGGCTGTAAAATTATAATAGCTTTCTTTATGACCCTAAGCAATTTATAAAGCAGTAATTATAGCAATTGAAATTCAAATCAAATTGCTTGATGCTTGTAACTTTAATAACTGCTTCGTCTGTTAAACGATAAAAGAATTCAGTAAAACAAAGTGAGTAATATTTCGTCACAAGGGCGCCTCGTACCTACATTCCGGTTTTACCTGTGTGTTGATAAATACGAAACCTGTGGAACATGTTGGGGTGGTGCACAGAGACATGATAACATAATTGCGACTCGCAAAATTTACACAAAGTCAAAGTTTCGAAATAAAAAACGTTTTGCTTTCCAAAAGAAGTTTTTGATAAGCATTTTAAAATTTCCACGCCCAAGTTTGGAGATTGGCAATAAATCTTCGTAAAATATCTACATGGAATAAGGATACTGCTTGCGTTACATACTATATACGTATTCATAGCTAAGAATACAATTCCTCATTGAAGATTACTCATTGTTTGGCTCAATTAATAAATTCAGCCAGCGGCAGTAGCCGGCTAGGGCGTGGACTTATCAGACATTCCAATAGGTAGGTACTTAGCATTGTGATCTTCTTTAGAATACATAATAGACTCATATTTATACCGTAGGACCACTGTACCTACCTAATTCAGCATTACTTAACCCTTTGAGATAAGAAGTCACTTTTTCCTTAAGTATAAAGTTCTTGAGACGACGTTAGTAAGTTAACTAACTTTAAATTGGATAACTTCGTAAATACAAAAAAAAACGTCGGAAACTCTTTCGAGGTCCCTTTTTTGAAGATTACATTACAGATATTTGCGAAGGATGGGGATGAAGTCAAACAAACAATATTGCACCCGAAGAGAAACAACTGCCATCAAGGCAAGATGTTCAAACAAAATTGATGTTTACACGAAACTTTCTTTACGAAATTTCGGAGCACATGTTTGTGTGGGAAGAACTTCATATTTTTAATGTAAACAAACAACCGGATCAATTTTACGAGAATTCTGAACTTTACGACTATTTTGAGTGCCTAACAAACCTAATGGCCTGTGAAGCTATGAATACTGTGAAAGAGCTTGTCAAAGTAGGAGTAATTGATGAAATCTTTAGTTTTGGCAACAGGCGTGGACTTCAGCATCCAGTAGAAAGTGCATAGAAGTTTGGCATTTAGATTTGGCACCTGGAACATTTGGAAGGCGACAGTTTGGCACAGAACTTATCCATATATTTAGATTCCAAAATAAACTTATTGTGTTCCCAAACACCGAGGAACTTCTAAATAAGGACCCGTCAGTACAAAACTTCCAAACAAAGTAAAACTCTATTTCTGAGTAACAGTTTCGCCAAACTGCGACAAAGTTTCAAGATTCAGGGCGTCCTCCTTACTACTCATTAAAACCGCGTTACACAACATTCTGTAAATGTACACAAAGTGAAAATGTCCGCTCTTTAAATAAATGTAAATTTAAGTTTATCGAACAATAAATTATACCGCAGTATTTATCAATTGGCCTCAATAGGGCAGTCCTTGTTTATCCATGGCAGGTTTTTCAAGGTTTTGCAACCGATAACTGGTAGCTGGAGCATCCGATGCACCGAAACAGTCTAGTGTTGTAGGAAGTTTACAATGGATAATACCCATATACATAATATCCTGTTTTGTGGATAACTTGTTATGTACGTACATACTGTGTTTGTGTACACATGATAAACAAATATCTATGCAACATGTAAACATTGCAAAAAGTGTACCTATTCAATAACAAATTAAGCCCCCAAAAAGGAACGTAAGTATCCATTCTAGCAGACCGGTATCTGCTTTTAAATTACTTAATCTAGACTTAGTAAATACTATTCAGGTATTTAAGACTACCAAAGACAAGACATAACATAACCTTTTTTGGCTTCGAATTCAGAACTCCTAATTTGCTGGTAAAATAAACATCGTTATTAAACTGAAGACAAAATAGAACCCTTTCATTACGTAATTACCGAGGATCAGAAGAACTTGAAAGGGATCTGAGGAGATTGAAGATCAATTCGGAAAGGTTCATTTAATTGGGAACCATCACTTGAGAAGTTGGGAAACATTGCGAATATCCACTAGCCGGCCTTACCTATCTTCATAGTTGTGAAGTACCCAATCTTGAGGTATCTAATGAGTTGTGTACCGAGGTAGATAAGTAGTGCTGTATTGGTTTGCGGTGAGGTGTTAGTTAACATAAATACGTCCCGCACATATCTCGTTACTCGGCCCGTACCGCACGGGGCTTGCTCCGCTAATCAGAGCATGTTGCTTCTAATTAAACTGGAAAAAACTAGTCGTTTAAAAATACCAGATTCAAGAAATATGCTCTTTTTACTTTTTTGAGTGTTTATTGCCAATAATGCCGAGATAACGTCATTAGTTTGCCGCCTGTACTCATAAATTTCCTGAAAATTCCTATAAATTGGCATGGATTTAGTAATTTATTTAGTGCGGTCGACTGATAATATATTTCGCCAAAACTTACTCAGACTTATAGCCGAAATCTATGAGGTGAGCTGGTGAGGTCATCGCAGTCACGCCACATTACGATTTTATGCCCAACGTTGATAATAAAGTAC